AGCCTCTGACTACCCTATCTGGTATAATGGTCGTACATATATCGTATATATCGATAGTATATTATTGTTATCAAAGTCAACTGAAGCTATCAATCTGCAATTTTACGGCCGTCTGTCAAACGTACACCATCTGTTTTCACATAAAAACCTAAGCTATCAACAATACAACAATCCACACATAAATTACACTAATGCGAATAAAAACCACATCGGGATATCGAGATATCGGGGATAGTGAAATGCGATCTATATTTGATTCGTTCATTGTGATTTCATAATAGTGAATTCTATTTGTGATCGTTATAATAAGGGGGTTAGTTATACACTCCGTTAGTTTATAAATAAATAACCACATTGTGGAATCACCAGCCAGCAATGATATTTCCGAACCGATACGATATTAAAACCTTCAAGAAAAGAGCTTATTCCTTTTTAAAAGGCCGACAACGTACTTGCAACTCCCCTGGTGTTGCGGGTGCTCATGGGCGGCGGTAATCACTTATCATCAGGTGAGCCGCATGCCCGTTTGTCCCCTGTGTTATATAAAAAAAATAACCCTGGACTATTAACACAGCGCCATCTAGTCAAAGCAAATTCAAAAATCATTTATTCATGTAGGACATTTTAGCCGCTTATGAATGCATGTGAAAGTCTCGTGGTTAGCAGAACTCGTGTTATAGATACTAGACAACTGTAAATACTTAGATATATTTATTTTTGTAAATACGTAATATACATATAAAACACCCAGACCGATGTAAACAAAAATACTCATGAATACAAATGTTTGCACCGTACGAGGAATCGAACCCGCGACCATAGGAAGTAAAGCTGTGTGATAAATCACCGTGGCCGTCTACATTACATATAACTATTATTCACCATAATCTTGTTCTACACAAGCTCTGCTTAGCTTGGGACTAGATGGCGCTGTCTGAATTCTACTGGGTTATGATTATAATTATGTACATATATGTAGAGTTATATATTGTACACGAATGTTTCACGTATAAGTAATATAAACAATTAATTAATTCCGAGTAACGGACAATGTGAAGCCAACACACAACAAGCTATTGAATGTCGACAAGGTAAATAAGTAAACAACTAAATAAGCAATTATACAATATTATCTATACATTAGTTATACAAGTCCAATATTGCCAATTGGAAACTTGTTTATTAATGTTACATGGAATAAAATGTATAATGCGTAGCGGTTTCTATGTTGATTGCATGCCTAATCCTTGTTAATGTTAATTTATTAAAAAGCGACACACAAGTTTCTTGCTCATTCTTCTTGTGATGAGTCTGCGTTCCGAATGAGTGGTAGAATAAAAAAAATATGACTATTCAGAATTATATTAAGTTTTTTTGAATAATTATTATTTCTATTTCTATAACTATATTACTAATACCTTTTACAAGATATATATATAGTAAAGCATTATTTAACTTTGACTTCTCCTTTATCACTAAACTACACGAAGAACACTAGGACTTCATCCTTACATCGTGGAAACTCCACCACAATCTACTTCACAAAACTCCTCAACAATCTACCTTCACGTGAAATTTCATTAAATACTTTTTAGTCGATTAGTCGTTAAAATCGTACGATTTTTGGCATGGTACAAACATTTGTATTCTTGATTATGATTGTTTGTATCGGTTTGTATATTTTCTATGTATAGTAGGTATGTATTTACAAAAAAAATGTACATATATCAGTTGTCTAGTACCCATAACACAAGCTCTACTTACCGTGGGACTAGATAACTATCAAGGGAAAATGAAACTTGCTTGAAAAAAAATTAAAATACTGCTTAACTGAAAAAAAAATTTGTCTAAGATTGTTGGTACATTTTGAGTAAAATAGATTTATTACGCACATAATGCGCCAAAGAGGGGATGGTATCTTTTCGCAAATTCAATCAGACCATCAACGTTTTATCGCAAAGTTATTGCCGTGGGATCGCTACAGGAAAATGACTCATTTCAACGGCTCATTCAGCACCTTGATTATACCCATTTATAACTAAGACATATATTTCTCAGCTTCATTAGCTGATATTTGAGAGCGTCGTTGCCTAGTGGTTAACGCCGATTTACGGTCTCAAAAGTCCGTAAATTCGAATCTGTTTGGCACATTTGAAAGTATCATATATAATTTTAATTTATATTTCTGACTAAAACTTATTTAAATCACAAAGTGACTATGAGACGGTACAATTCTACTTAATAATTATATTATCAGTTATAATTTTATTGTGTAATTATATTGATTATTTTGTTTGAATGAAAAATTATTAAATAATAATTTAATTATATATGTAAAATAAAAAAAATCAAATTAATAAGAATGGATTACCTAAAATTTTAGTTTTAAACTTTACACCACTTTTAACAATATATTTTAGTCATCGTTTTATATTTTTTTAAGCTTTTTAATTTTAGATTCTTAGTTGTACAATTAGGTTATATAAATAAAAAAATAATATAATATTATGTTAAATATAATATAACTTTCTAGCTTTGAGTACATTAATATATCTAATTATAATTTAAGCACGCCGCATCAATACTTGATTAAAAGATATCACTTTTCTAAAGAAAAAAAATATGACTAAGTAATTTATTATTTTTTTACTCGAAATGCATAAACAGTATAAATTCACCCCCAACATTTACAACCTTAAAATCCAACTTAAGATAAAAGATCTTAAGCCGAGTTGTTAAGGACTAAGCTACAACGTTCTTAATAGTTGTGTAAGTATGTCAAAAATATCTGCAGTCGCTTGCAGGCGAGGAAATCCGGCGCTGCGATAGCTGTCTGGCACGAACAACCGGCCTCAAGACGTTTTCATAGATAGCGCTAAACTTAGTACCAGTCTTAGGTACAAGTTTCATAAATTATTTATTACAAATACAGTCTGTTCGAGTTACGAACACTGAAAGACTATTTGCTTTTGCAATAGCATATGCTGGTAGTCACTCTATTCTCCCAAATTTTAATTTAAAAATGAATCTGTATTATTGTAAACATGTACAACATTTATTTGAAAACAATACGAGCTGAGTTTCTTGTCAGTTCTTCTCATCTCGATATCATTCCGAACTGACGGTAGATTTGACATATCATAAAAGTCTGTAATAGACCTACATGAATATAGATATTTAGAATTTAGAATTTTTTAATTTTACAAATAATCTTAATTTAAGCACTTTTGAATACTCACATTTTTTTTATTCTACCACTCATTCGGAACGCAGAATAATCACAAGAAACTTGACTTACTTGACAAGAAAGTTTTTTTTATGTAACTAAAACACAACTAGAAATAATATTTATTCAAATAAACTTAATATAAGCACTTTTGAATTGAATATTCACTTTTTTTTTACTCTACCCCTCATTCGGAACGCAGAATAATCACAAGAAGAACAAGTTGTATTGCTCTTCTAAATTAATATTGTTATATATAAATACATTAAACATGGATTAGGTATATCATATACAATCAACATAAAAACCGCTACGCACTCAATCTTTGTGCAATCAGATAATATTGTCAGCTTTATGAATTTTAAGTAAGTATTTCTATACAAAAAAATGCAGTTCCGCAATTTTATTATAAACTTTTTATATATATAGTTTTAAACATTTGTATTTTGTATTTTTGTATACATATACAAGCTCATTTGAAAATAATAAGATCTGAGTTTCTTTTTAGTTCTTCTTAGCTCGAAAGCTCCAAACTGACAGTAGATTTGACATATCATAAGAGTCTGTAATAGACTTACATGAATAAAGATATTTTGATTTAATGTAATATGTTATTATTTGTATTAGTTACTTATAAAATAGTATACGTAAGTTTCTTGCTTATTCGGTTCCTGTAATAAGTTAGCGTTCCGAATAAGTGGTAGAATAAAAAAATATGAATACTGAAAAGTGTTTATTTATATTAAGTTTCTTTTTATAAAGATTTTTTCTATTTAAACTTTCGTGTTCATTACACTTTATTTATATTGTTAACCGCGTATTACCACGATTAATTTTATGGTAAATAAAGGTATTTACCTCTCTCGACGTTTCGACTAGATTACACTAGACGTGGTCACGAGCTACAGCTCGTGACCACGGCTAGTGGTAAAGAGGGTAATTTTCTGACTGACATTATAATGTCAGTCAGAAAATTACCCTCTTTAAAATTCAGTTAACAGGAACAGGAAGCTGGTATTAGGATGTTATAGACGTTAATTTTAATATAATAATAATTCTATAAAATAACAAAACAACAATAAATTGTATATGTATATTTATTAACATTTTATACTAAAATAATTTCATAAATAAATAAATTACGCACTAAATAAATAAACAATTTATCTACAATTTTGTATTATTACAATATTTACAAATTTCTACTAAAATAATTACCCCTTTGTTTCACGTTCTTGTCTAATAAACCGATTTAGAATATAGATAAGTTTAGTGCAATTGAATATAGGTATATGTACTTTAATATACACGCCATGGCACTAATTTTGCACATAACTCTTTCTCTATATTGGATTATGATACTCACAGAGTTCATTTTAAAGATATTTTACAAGGGGAAACTCTGATTACAATGATATATTTAAATTTGTTATACAGGATGCGATTCTGAAGTACCATTCTGAGATAATAAAGATATATATGTACTATAGCATATTACACATATGAACTATAGTATATATAGTATTTACGTAGTCGGTCTACAGTTACAATACTGGCCCGAAACTAAATTTGACACCTGAGACAGAATTAAACTTTATGTTTTTTAATTTAGAATTAAGATTTTCAGTTCTTTTTTAAATTAGAATTTTGATTCACTAATTGATTGATTCTAAAAAGATACTAATAAATTTATGAGATTTTGAATCAGCTTCATTATGTTATGGAGCGGTATTAGGTAGGTATTTACAATAGTACATGATCAATTTCGGTCAAAGATTCGGTCAATTTACTAATGAAAACAAACCAGAAATTTTATTCGGACAGTCCAGGATATAATCTATTAAATGTTATACGATAACAAATATTTCGGTTGATATTACAAACATGAACCTATATTTTGTTTAGGATTAGAATGTCTAATGAATCACTTTGGAGGATTAAATCGGGACTACACTGATACACACTGATACCAAAATCGAAATCAAGATCATAACCGAAACCGAAATCGTGACCGAAATCGAAACAGAAATTTCGTCGGTTCCAATACTCTGTAATAAAATTGTTCATACATCACACGGCATCATAATCAGTCGTTAAACAGGTGTCGATATTATCTTCAGGATTCAACTTATTTATTGAGTTTAATCTTATTGAGGTCAAATCCGTACGATCACTTTAAAGGATGAAATTGAGACTAAAACCGTTAGCGAAATCATAACCGGAACCGAAATCATGACTGAAACCGAAACAGAAATCAGGACCGAAACCGAAACCACAGTCGAAACTGAAATTTCGTTGGTCACTAATACCAATACCCTATAATAAAAGGTATCATACATCACACGGCAACTGGTTATATCTCAAACAAGCGCCGATATTCTCTTCAGGATTGGACTTCTTGGTGGGAGGTCCAAAGTGTACGGACACTTTGAACGGCTTCACCGAAGTCTCCACTCGACAATGATCAAACTGCACACCTGGGCAGAAGCTGGAGCCGCAGTGATGAGGATCACACACTCCTGGCAAGCTGTACAACGAACTCTGAAAATAATAATTATATTATGTAAGAAAGGAGCAAATGTGGTAGGTCTTAGGACTATAAGTTTAGTCAGTCGGAGTCATGGAGAACTTTTATAATTCACAGTTTATTTGAAATTCGTAACAGGGGTGAACCTATCTACTTTTCTCAGATTAATCTGGTTTGTTGTCGAAATTTCCATTACCAAAGATTTAGCAGTGAAGTGACAGTTTTATAATTTGGGCAGATTCGAACCCTTGACCTTTGGAGTCTAAAGGTCGGGGTAGAAAAGACATGGTCACATTACTTATTAAATAATAACTAAAGGCAATCCATAAAGCGCCATCTAATCCCAAACTAAGAAGAGCTTGTTTATGTACAAGACAACTGATATAAATACAGTTAGATACATTTTTTGTAAATACATTCATAATATATTTAAAAAACACTCAGTAAGATACACAATTAACTAATGAACACAATTGTTTGTACCGTGCAAGGCATCGAACCCGCGACTATCGGGAAAAGCGGTGTTTTAAATCACTAAAACATCAGGATCATCAAAATTCGTTAAAATCATAAATATACTCACGGATACAAAATATTCATTCTCACACTGTATGGTTATTCTGTCTTGGCATCTCTGCCTTCCATAGCCCTTCAAACCAGCACCATAGTTTCCATATCCATAGTATCTTAACTTATCATCTACTCCTTTGAAATGCTGAGCATAGGGGGACAGACGCATCCAACCAAAATTTGCTAAGTCCCATTTCTTGCTATCCCATAGTATATCCCTTGCATTTCGGGCCGTTTTAGCTTCATTGATTTCATCTTCACCATCCCAAAGCATGATTTCTTGTCCGCTACGAGGATCTTCTTCATCAGGATAATCATGGCTCCAATTGTTGTCCCACGTCCTGGCGTTCCACCTTTCACCCCGGCCGGAACTCCTGCCGCTCTGCCCCCAGAGCCAAGATGGCCAGATAAAGCTCCAGATCTAAATATTAGTTATGTTAATCTAACTACAAGGACAGGTGGGTAATAGAATAGAATAGAAGGTTGTAAAACCGATTCCAAAAGACATCATTAAATTTACAATACAAATCCAATTGACATATATTTCCCAGTAATCTCTCCGTTCCTAATTCAATTCTGTTCTTAAGAACTATATCTCTCACTTCCTCATTCCACTCTCTTCTTAAGAATACAAGGTTATTTGCAAAGCGTATTTTGTCAGCAAAGATTTTTGATAAAACTATTTACCGAGATTATTTTTAGGTACTTTTTAATTATTTAGATATTTGTAAAGTTCCTTCGATGTTTTTAGAAGTAACCGAATTTTGCTTTTAGTATTAAGCAATAAAACAACTGTAAAACAACTAGTACCTGTGGTACTCGTTAAATTTAGTAACAAAAATAAAACTTGACAGGAAGGAAACGATGGTAATATAAGATGAGATATGATAATTACAGATGATGCTCAGATGAGGATCAGAGCTGACACTTTAATGCCATTCTTGGCGGTTTAGCGTCGCTTCAGGTGTTACACCTATTGTCAAAAAATCCTGCTGGATGGTTCAAGCCCAGGTGATGGATGGACATATCTACATTATCATAAAATGTAATAACAGGGATAAAGCAATCTCAAATTTGAGATACAATGACATTAAAATCTGACAACACTGCTTAAGAACAGAATCTGGAACATGTGTGATAGCCCTAATATGAAGTTACTCAATATATTTGTATTAATTTCGCGTTCAAATAGTAATTATTAACTTTAGAATATTTCTGAAACATTTGCAAATAGGTAATAGAATATTATTAAACTTAGTGAAGTCTAATCAAGAATTTTGAAACCCGTTATATTTTCCGAGAGATAGCTTTATATGAAATGTCTATTGTAGGTACATATAAATTTAAGAATATAAATATATATCTAATACAAAATAATGACCCACTAAAACGAGATAGGTGTTTTATTGCCGGGGGACCTAGAATTAATATAAATCTTTAACCATTTGTTAGATTGGGTATATTTGTTTAGTACATTTTTAGTTGGCGTACTTTGGGTGGAAATTTGGAATAATTTCGTGAGTATGAAAATAGGCTTTTATTTGGACATTTTAATGTAGGGCCTCGCCACGTGCATTAAAATCTACAGATAACATATATCAGACGTGCCAACCGTAAAAAATGCCTCGTAGATACTAATAATTGCAACACTAGAAAATTTAGTATCCAGTGATAAATTACCTCATATTTTTCTGTATTTCATGAATGGTGCTGAACTTATATTTAATCGTAGACTATAATTTACAGGACTACGAGGATCCTTCTATGGTTGGCAATTTTGACAAAAATGTGTGTATATGTATATCTACAATGTACATATGTATGGAACAGAAAAACATTTGTTGACGGATTCAAAAATTAGGTATTACGAAATATTTGAACAGTTCAATCATTCAATGTGCAGTCTACAAGATATTGAGAAATCATTCATTTCTAGGTACGAAATTGTAGTTGAAAGAAGTTAATAGCTGCCTTTACATGTACCCTATTTTACGTGAAAATCGGCTTTCACGCAGGAAAGAATGTCCATATAAATGTAGACAAAGAGAACGAAAAAGTTCCCGCGCACCGCGCTCGCGCATTCCCACGTTCTTCAATCATGCGTGCTTGAGCGCCTTTTTGAAACAACTGATTATCATTGCTAAATGAGGCACATCTGACTAATTATAGAGTTGTTGACAACTTATAATTCGGCCTCGGTGGTTTAGCGGTTTAACACACCGCCTTACTTACAATAGTCACGGGTTCGATTCCTCGCACGGCACAAACATTTGTATTCGTGAGTATGATTATTTATGTCGGTCTGGGTGTTTTCTATGTATAATATTTATATATTTGCGAAAAAAATATATATTTATGTATGTGTATCAGTTGTCTAGCTTAACTTGGAACTAGATGTCGCTGTGTGATTTGTTCTGATACTTAATTATCTTTATGAATCTTAAACAAGTCTTTAGAAAATAAAAAATGTGGAATAAAACATAAGATCTTAAAAGAACGTGAAATGACATGAAACAGACGCGTTATCACGCGCGAAATAGATATCACAAATTTTTGTAGAATGCGATTACTCAATGGTTATCGCTAACTTTCCCGCGCTAAATCGCATGAGCTTCTGTTCGCACATGAAAGAACGTGTAGTGTAAAGGTAGCTATTAGTTATATACAAGGTCAAATTATATATAAAGTCAAATATTGAAGGTCAAATAAAATTCTATAAATTGTGTTTTAGAGCAATACAAACGCATTATAAGCAACAAAAATAAACACACAATTTTGTTTCTTATATAACACCAACTAAACTTTTGGTATTGTACAATAGAAACAGCAAAGAATCATCTGCTTCTTCCTTATCGCATTTATTTTAGGTCGACGTAATACTTTTTTCTCTTTCATTCATCCCTATTCGCAGTCATCTCGTTATTTACTCCCTTTCCTACCATTTCAGCTTCTTCCTTATCCCATTTATTTGTGGTCGGCGTAATATGTTTTTCTCTTCCATTCATCCCTATTCGCAGTCATCTCGTTATTTACTCCTTCCTACCATTTCAGCTTCTTCCTTATACCATTTATTTGTAGTCGGCGTAATATGATTTTCTCTTCCATTCATCCCTGTTCGCAGTCATCTCGTTATTTACTCCCTTTCCTACCATTTCGTATTCACTCCCTTTCATATCATCTTTCACACAGTCCATCCATCTCTTTTTCGGCCTTCCTCTGTCTTTATAACCATCCACATTCATATGTAAAATATTATCTTCATTTGTACTGCATGCCTATGGGCCACAATAGTCGGTTACTCTTCATCCTCTCCGACACCGGCGCCATTTTCATACTGCCTCTAATGTATTCATTCCTTATCTTATCCATTCTTACCATATCATCTTTCACACTTTCTATATGCTTTCACAATTTCCTGTAATATAGTCTAGATGTGTGTACTAAGATACAATTATTTATTTTATCCATTCTTGTCACACCACACATCAATATCAACATTCACATTTGAGTTGCATGCAGTCGCCTTTCATTCATCGCTTTTACGGGTCAGCAGTCTGTATCAACAGCCATCTATATCACGTACATTCCAAGTTCATTCCGCCCTTCCTCTACCCTTATAACTATCTACATTCATATTGTTGTAACATCTTCTTTAAAATATTATTCAATAAATAACTAAATAATATTATATATTATAAATAAAATATAAACTGCAAAGGATAAATGAACATGTTCAATAGTTTTGAATTAACAGAAAATATTCATAATATTTACCATAGAAGTAAAGCTCGAGGATTGCTTAACTGGTGCAGACTGGATGGTCGGCGCTATATTTGGATCAGCACCAGAGCCTTCCATCTGATCTTCTTGTATATCACCAGGAACTTCCGTGGACATTGATGTACTCACTGAAAGTCGAACAAAATATTTAAGAATTTTTATATGAAAAATACGCTGCTATTTTAACATCATCATATGACATGATACCGATGGGTATCACAAAGTACTTACTTACAAATCATCTACATCGTCATGTACATGATGTACATGTGACGATCATTGTGATGTCTTGTTACTTAATGGATATATCTTACGCTAAACCAAGCTTGTTTTACGGTACCAGACAACTGTATAAATTCATAGTTCATTTTTTTTTATAAATACACACATAATGTACAAAGAGCAGACTAATACAAACAATCATACTCATGAATACAAATGTTTGCATCGTGCGAGGAATCGAACTCGCGATCATCGGCAGTAAAGCTGTGTGCTGAAACGATAGACCATCGAGAGCGTCAAATATTATAAGTTCATTAGATATATTTCTAATTATAGAATTCTATTACGAGTATATACAAGGTAATAAGAAAATGTTATGATGGCTAGGACAAAGCTTCTCTAATATTTTATAGCATATTTGTTTAAATAGTCTTAAATAATATATTAAATTTTCTTCTACAGAAGTGCTACATATAACAGGCTACAATTTTAATTTATTTATAAATAACAACACATTCATTAATATCTATCTCATCATCTGCTTGTTCCTTATCCCATTTATTTGTGGTCGGCGTAATATGTTTTTCGCTTCCATTCATCCCTGTTCGCAGTCATCGCGTTATTTACTTCCTTTCTTACCATATCATCTTTCGCACAGTCCATCCATCTCTTTTTCGGGCTTCCTCTGCCCTTATAACCATGCACATTCATATGTAACACCTTTCTTAAAATATTATTCATTAATATCTATCTAACTACAGTTAATTCTATAGGAATACATATGGTACAATATATTATATTTTTTTGTTAGAAATCAATAATGTCAGACTGCAATTTCGCCTTCAGTTTCGACTTTGTTTTCGTAATTACTTAAAATTAATACAAATCAAAACACAATTCAAATATGTTTTACATCTATATATGTACTTATAGTAAAATATATTTCTATTATCTACAAAGTCAATAATTTACCAAATAATCTTTTAATAATAAACTTTTATAATCTTTTAATTAATAGTAATAATAATTAGCTAATAATCAAAACTTGAATATTGTTTCAAAGAATGTCTTACAACAATATTAGTTTTTGACCGAAACTAGAAACAGAAGCCGAAATTCCATTTTCATTTTCGACCACAAAGGGTTTTTAGGGTATGGCTCTAAATACCCGTTTTGATCGGACATTATTATAGGTAATCATGGACACCATACAACCATAAGGTAGGGGTACTACAAAAATAGTGTCATCAGAAAACCATTTTGTGAGTCCATGCTCTCCTGAGTAGCATATGCCGGCGTAGTGGACCGTTGCGGTACTGGTGTGGTAGAACTATCCGCGCTGGTGTCTGTCACAACCAGGATTGTGGGTTCAATCCATACTGATATTATAAAGCTAGGGTCGATAACGAACGTGACATCCCTAGTAGTTCAGGCGTCCATAGCTTACGGTTACCATTTACCATCAGATGGGCCGTATACTTGTTTGCTACCATTGTAGTATAAAAAAAATATATGACTGTATATTTTGCGAGTGAACGGATTTATAATAAAATTTTACGAAATTGTGTTTTTTATGAAAAAAGTAATAGAAGTCGGGGTAACTTTAGTACCCCGGGGTAATTAGGATGTCTACCGAAATGATAATCGTCGTCTATATACATTTATACTGTATATATGTCACATTGTATGACTCACAGACACACACAATGTGACATGTATGCTTGTGACGCCTATTGTCATGAAATGGCAAAATTTCGACCTTTAAAGCAAATTAAAATAATAAATTAATTAATTATAATTACCAGGATCTGTATTCTGGACTTGATCACCACCAGCGCCGATCCTGAACGAGCGACCGTCGCACGGCGTGTACCTCACGGAACAGTAACCCACGTTGTGTCTGACACACGCCCGGTAGTCATGTCCGGACAAGTGGCGCCCATTGATCGCACAGTTAAACGACCACTAGTACAAATTAAGATATTTACCAGGATCTGTATTCTGGACTTGACCACCACCAGCGCCGATCCTGAACGAGCGGCCGTCGCACGGCGTGTACCTCACGGAACAGTAACCCACGTTGTGTCTGACACACGCCCGGTAGTCATGTCCGGACAGGTGGCGCCAGTTGATCGCATAGTTAAACGACCACTAGTACAAATTAAGATATTTACCAGGATCCGTATTCTGGACTTGACCACCACCAGCGCCGATCCTGAACGAACGACCGTCGCACGGCGTGTACCTCACGGAACAGTAATCCACGTTGTGTCTGACACACGCCTGGTAGTCATGTCCGGACAGGTGGCGCCCATTGATCGCACAGTTAAACGACCACTAGTACAAATTAAGATATTTACCAGGATCCGTATTCTGGACTTGACCTCCACCAGCGCCGATCCTGAACGAGCGACCGTCGCACGGCGTGTACCTCATGGAACAGTAACCCACGTTGTGTCTGACACACGCCCGGTAGTCATGTCCGGACAGGTGGCGCCCGTTGATCGCATAGTTGAACGTTTTGATCGTACCTGCAAGAGGAACGCCTTGTATTATCGGTTTTTTTATGCAAGATAATAGCAGACTAGGCCACGCGTTGCTGTTGGTAATAGTTGCTTTATATATAAAAATTATTTGCAATAAAATAATATTGCGACTATAAACTTATCTTTAAATAGACTTAGAACTTTTATCGGTTTATGATTCATCCCTTATACATTCTGATTAATTCCTAATCGATATTATGTAGTATGAAATTTTATGTATATTGAGATGTTAGCCATCCTATCTTTCAAGTTGGATCAAATTGCACACAATGTACAATTCAAATTTGCAATCGGTTCAGTAGGTTAGTCCATTGCGAACAAACAACGTGGCACGTAATTTTTACATATAAAGATTATAAATACATATTTAATATACATAGACCAAGGCTAATATAAACAATTATACTTATTAATAAAAATTTTCGCATTGTGCTAGAAATCGAATCTGCGACCATCTGAAATAAGTATCTAAAATGGCAGACCACTGAAATCGTAATAGCAAACTATCTCATAAACACACATGTTGTACCATATACCGTCCGAGGAATCGATCCCGCGACCCTCAGAAGTAAAACGCTGTACGCAACCGCTAGGCCACCGAGACTGTCAAGTTGTTAATATCATATTAATTGACTGACACAAACTGATGTACTTCATTATAAAGCGCTGTCAGTGTAGACTCTCTTTGAAGACTGGTCTGAGTATTTAAGCTTTTCTCATATTATGATTTTATATAACAAATAGCAGCCTTACTTTGATGTACTAAAAGGCCTGGTCAATAAACGAAAACATTTAAAATTTGATTAAATCTGAGCCTCAGTACTAAAGACCTCTCGAGTCAATATGATATTTAACGGCCTCGCTTGTCAAACCGGTGTAACACACAGTTTTACATCCGATGGTCGCGGATTGGATACCTCACACGGTACAAACATTTGTATTAATGAGTATTGCTGTTTGATCGATCTAGTTGTTTTCTATATATATTGTGTGTATATTTACAAACAAAATTAGTATTTCTATCAGTTGTGTAGTACCTACCCACAACACAAACCCTGCTTAGCTTGAGACTAAATGGCGTATGACAGTGGGTTTTGCGTGAAAGTGTAACAAGCATCCATCCTTCGATCCAAACTCACAATCTTCCACCTTTATAATAAACTAGCTTTTGCCTGCGGCTTCGCTCGCGTATTACTAAGTATTATTATTAATTAGGTGTAGTTTTTGCGGCTTTACTTTTGTTTAGAGTGTGTAAAAAATAGGGCAAAATCTAAGAAGATTTATACAAACATTCATTTTATCCCCTTAGAGGTGGAATTTATCAAAATCCTTTCTTAGGGGATGCCTGCGTCATAGTAGCTTTGTGAATGCAAAGTCTCAGCCCGATCCGTCCAGTGGTTTGGGCTGTGCGTTGATAGATCACTATGTCAGTCACCTATGAGTTATATATATTTAGATTGTAACACACAGCGCAGCAGTCACATTGGTTTAAAATTGAAAAGTTTTATGCAAACTTTCAACCCCTATTTTAACCCCTTGGGGGTAGAATTAATCAAAATCCTTTCTTAGCGCATGCCTACGTCATAACATCTATCTGCATGCCAAATTTCAGCCCGATCCGCGATCCGTCCAGTGGTTTGGGCTGTGCGTTGATAGATCACTATGTCAGTCACCTTTGAGTTATATATATTTAGGTTGTAACACACAGCGCCATCTAGTCCCACGGTAAGCAGAGCTTGTATTGTGGGTACTAGACGACTGATATACAAACTAAGATAATTTTTTAATACGTACATAAAATACACAGAAAACATCGAGACCGATACAAACAATCATATCTACTGATGAATACAAATTATTACACCGTGCGAGGAATCGAACTCGTCACCATCGCAAGTAAAGCAGTGTGCTAAACCGCTAACCCACCGAGGCCGTGAAAAATATTTGGAACTTACCATTATTCTCCCTGTACCACTGCAGACAGTCGTGTGGTGCGGAGTACGCGAGCGGCATCTGTGCCAGACGCAGCAGCCAAATCCGCGGCATCTCCGTGCCTCGGATGCGTATGGAGAGACGGGTCCCTCTCGTGCCGGATAACTCCTCGCTGTCACGCTTCTCCCTCTCATTCGTTAATGTATAATACACTGAAATTAATTTTAGTTTATTGAGCTACAAGGTTTCTAGTCAAGATCGCTGGAAGGCGTTGGATGCGAGCAGCGTAGGACCGATCGTCGTGGAGATCGTGGGGGAGGCCTTTGTTCAGCAGTGGACGTCTTCCGGGCTGAGATGATGACGATGATGACGATCTACATGATCATGACTTGGGTTAGATTTATGAATCCCACCTAGTGGACTGTGTAAGACGTACAAGCATAAACTTTAATACTAGGCCAACAAATTAGCCTAAAGTTATTCTTCTTTAGTTATTCACTCACTCAGTTTAAAAATGAGTCATATACTTAGTGAGTGAGTGTAACTGTAATGACTCCGAATGTAGTAATTGTTGTTTTATATATAATTCTTACAGTGCTGTCCGTGATTCTGTCCACATATAGTGAAGTTGTTGGTCCCTTCTCCCAAAATCATGGCGTCCTCATCACATTCTCCTGTAGCTCTATTTGGTTGGCCCTGTAAAATATAATGAGACAGTAAATGATTTATTTTGTTCATTTGTTACATCTGACGCCAAGAAACATGCCAAAATTTCGTAGTTACTATATTTTATTAGACTTGACTTCACCATAGTAAGTTTTTTTCTTTTTTTTACCATATTTTAATTAGTTAAATTGAGTTGATGAAAGATGAAACGTTAAGTAAACTTTTAATTACTTAGACTTAATTCTTAATTAAAAATAATTATTTAAAATTAAGTCGCATTTGGGATGGAGGCACCAATTCTTAATAATAATAATAATATTATAAATGTGAAAGTAAGGATGTTTGTTATGCTTTCACGCAAAAAACTACTGAACAGTTCAATAGTTTCCTGAACCGATCATAATAAAATTTTGTACACATGTTCTTAAAGATATTAGAAGGAACACAGGATGTTTTTATTAAAAAAACAAATATTTTTTATTCAATGCGAGCGAAGCCGCGGGTAAAAGCTAGTGCAGTAATAAAGTAACTGGTAAAATGTAGTAAAAGAAAGAAAAAACACAATGGTGAAGTTCACAGAGTTTTATAAAATCTAGCTATATTGGGGAAAACGGAAAATACTCACTATTGTGAAGTGTACAAAGTCTATTCTCAACTGCATGATGCCCTCTGTAACCTTGTGTATAGTGATATCACAGTCTTGCTCCCCGTTCCAGAGGTCAGGGAAGCTGGGAGACATGAAATATGTGAGATTATTCTGCACCGTCCCACCACAGGAAACCTCAACTGTAATAGAAATAATAAATACTAATGTATATGTTTATAATAATATGCACATATTATTATTATTGTTATTATTATATGTATATAATATTGTTAGGGAATTTACTATGTATATATATAGGGAAAAATATGTGTGGAAACGTCTGTCATGTACCTGTATGGTTCTGCGGATTTCTTGGGCTTCAGGGTCTCGAAGATATCTTCGCTAGCTTTCCAGTTTCACAGTAGGTTTAACACAGTTCTAATTTATTTTAATTCACAACACAATGCGCGCGCGCGTCAAGGCCGCTGTACGGTCAGTTCAGTACTAGGTAAGGGAGGGGAACAGAAACCGCGGGAACACAAACTAACGGACTCTAATATAATAATCTGTGCTTACGATGATACAAGGTAGATTTTGAACAAATATAATTATTTACGTTTCTTTCATTCCATTCATGCGTCATCTACCACCTTCTGTCTTATCTTTGCTACCCAAAGATTATCTGGAAGAGATCGCTTACGCAAAAAGACCTTTTAGTGTGCAATTTGATCCAACTTGAAAGATAGGATAACTTACATCTCATTTATAGTCGCAATATTACTGTATCTTAGAACCTTATTCTAGAACCGGGTGTGCCAGTATCTAAATATATATAACTCAAAGGTGCCTGACATAGTGATCTATTAACGCACAGCCCAAACCACTGGACGGATCGGGCTGAAATTTGTCATGCAGGTAGAGGTTATGACGTAGGCATGCGCTAAGAAAGGATTTTGATTAATTCTACCCCCAAGGGGATAAAATAGGGGATGAAAGTTTGTATGAAACTTTGTCAATTTTAAACCGATGGGACTGAGACTTTGCATGCATAAAACTACTATAACGTATGCATCTCCTAAGAAAGGATTTTAATAAATTCCACCCCTAAGGGGATAAATTAACGCGAGCGAAGCCGCGGGCAAAAGCTAGTATTTATATAATCATTAAACTACAGTTAATCTAACATTCATTTAGCAAGATATTTCCCCCTCCGATCGAACCCCCGTCCAATTCAAACGGGGATCGAAAGTACGACGGCCTGAGCCGAGGTTCCAACCCCTAGTGGTGCCCTCAGACTAAAGTCGTATCCGTCAGGCAGGAGTTGGCCTTCAGCCGCTCCATAAGTCCTTCCGCGGGTTTGGAGTGCCATCTGCACTCGCCCCCTAACGTCCGGTGAAGGTGTAAAGGCCAGCTGCGGCCAACAGCATTAGAGTAGTCCGAAAAACAAAAGCAAGATATTATACATAACTCGCGTATAAATCTCCAACAATGGCTTGGCTATTCAACAGGATATCTAATTTGCTCAGTACTATTTCTCGCTTTATTGCAACAGAAGCCACTTTGTGGGGTACACAAACGACTCGCTTAATGCTCTATACTTATATCTATATGTCTTTGTCGAATATAATATTAATAAAAAAATTAAAAGTATTTTGTATATTTTTTATTTGGAAACTAGCTACTCGCCCCGGTTTCGCACCAGTGTACATGCATTATACATATAAACCTTACTCTTGAATCACTATCTATTAAAAAAAACCGCTTCAAAATCCGTTGCGTAGTTTTAAAGATTTAAGCATACATAGGGACGGACGGACAGCGACAGCGACTTTGTTTTATACTATGGAATGATGACGAAGTATTGCACAGGGTGAAAGAAAAACGACAGATATTGAATGCTATAGGCGAGAAAAATGTTAAGACACTTGATACGTTACGAGGAATTTATGAAAGTAATTATTGAGGGAAAGATAGAAGAAAAGAGGGGGAGATGAAGACCAAGGCACAGCTATATCAAGCATGTGAAAGACAGAATTGGAGTTGTGGCGTATCAAGGTTAAAAGAGTGGTAGATCGTAGAAGTAGTAAGAGCTCCACCGACAAGAGCGTTGCTCGTAAATTTATGAATGAATGAAAAAAAACAGCTAAACAACTATGAAAATAGAAATTATTTACTTTAAATTCAACCTATTACATCTCAATATAATTTATTTCAGAATAATTCACACTGCGCCATCCAGTCCCAATTTAAGCAGAGCTTGTGGGTACTAGACACAACTACATCGATAATTTTTTTTATAAATACATACTCATTAATACATTTGTGCGAGGAATCGAACCCCCGACCATCGCAAGTAGTACTTCTTTTAATTTAGCCTATTAAACCAGTATGTCTATATAATTCAGGTTACGATCTTTAACTTCTTATATATATTACTAGCTGTACACGCGACTTCGTCTTCGTGGAATTTAACTTTACTTTTCTAAAATAAAAATAAAATGAAAGAAGCCTAAGTTACTCCTTATTACATCAGCTACCTGCCAAAAAAAGTCCGGTCAAAATCGATCCAGCTATTTCAGAGATTAGCCGGGACAAACAGACACACAGACAGACAAGCAAAATTTGTAAAAAATGTTATTTTGGTGTATGTATGTATGTACCGTATTTAATAGTAAGAAACGGTTATTTCAATATTACAAACAGACACTCCAATTTTATTTATGCGTATAGATTATTACAGTATTTTCATATAATTATCCGCTCAGATAGCTGTGTGTTTTTTTATGTCATGATAAAATAATATAATGAAGATATATTCTTTTAATAATACATATAGAAAATACATTACAATATATCCAAAATGTATTGAGAATGGACTATCGAGTTCTCGTTCTTTTTTATGGTCTAGCGGTTTAGCACCGCTTTCCTGTAGTCGCGGGTTCGAATCGCATAATATGTGGTATATTTTTTTAACTGGTGTGTTATAGGTTTGAGGCTTTTATTTATGTATTTATCTTATATATAAAATTCTCGTGTCACAGTTTTCGTTCCCATACTCCTCCGAAACTGCTTGACCGCTTCTCATGAAATTTTATGAGCGTATTGAGTAGGTCTGAGAATCGGCCAACATCTATTTTTCATCCCCCTAAATGTTAGGGGTAGTCCACCCTTAAATTTTTTTCATATTCATGATTACAAATGTTTCGATTCCTTGCACGGGAATCGAACCCGCGACCACGGAACTAAAGCTAAACCACTATACCACAGAGGCCGTCAAATACCACCTATTTCCGGCTTTAACAATAAAATTACAGTGTAAAGAGGCGAGATTATCATGAAAACGTTATCTATAAAATCCCATGATAAAATCAAATCAACCTACAGTATAGAAAACCCATAACTTGCGATATGTGGTCGTAACTTCCTATACACGGTACGTAAATGTGATTTACAACTGCCGAACAATATGCCATACGATTACTGATAAAACCGCAACTTTCATATGAAAGTGGGGCATGTGTAGCTACCCGTTAGGTGTCATCTCTTTTTCAAAGTGTTTGTCTTATTATTTAACTAGCTACTCACCCCGGTTTCGCACTGGTGTACATGTATTATACATATAAACCTTCCTCTTGAATCACTCTATCCATTAAAAAAAACCGCTTGAAAATCCATTGTGTAGTTCATGTAGGACATGCATAGGAACAGACAGCGACAACGACTTTGTTTTATACTATGTAATGATGCTCGTTAAAATCTATATCAATAAAGAGATAAAGTTGGCATGTTTTTTTATACGAAGTAAGAGCTAGGTTTTTTTAAAACCCAGGGGACAAACAAGCTTACGGCAAACCTGATGAGTAAGTGATAGTGCCCCGCCCATGAGCACCCGTAACACCAGGGGAATTGCAAGTGCGTTTGCCTTTTAAGAAGGAATAAGCTCTTTTCTTGAAGGTTTCAATATCGTATCGGTTCGGAAATATCATTGCTGGAAGGTGATTATACAATGTGGTGGTGCATTGTAAACAGTTTCTAGAAAAATGCACTGTGGAGGACCGCCATTCATCCAGATGATCAGGATGGTATTTTAATTTCTGGCGGGTGGTACGGTGGTGAAACTCAGCAGCTGGCATCAAACCGAACACTCAACATGATATAAGCGGTAGAAAAAGCATAGTTAAGTATATAATACTTTAACATATAAAAATGTATAGTTAAATATATAACGATTTAGTTATATATTTAACTATACATTACGGAGTTACTAAGATAAAATATTAACATGCACTAAGATAATAGAAGGATGAAGGTCTTAAAGCAAATACGATTTACGGTGTTACTAAAATGTAAAATTAATGTAGAAAACGAAAGTGTAAGGATGAAGGTACTGATGGAGAGTCAGACTGACTATATGTACTCAGACAGCTGGTGGAGTATCTAATCTATACATCTATACATATAAATAAAATTGGAGTGTCTGATTGTAATATTGAAATAACCATTTTTTACTACATGTATATGAATACAAATACGGTATATACACCTTAATATTTTTTTACTATTTTTGTTTTTCTGTCTGTCTGTTTGTTTCGGCTAATCTCTGAAATGGCTGGACCCTTTTTTTGTAGGTAGCTGATATAATAAGGAGTGACTTAGGCTACTTTTATTTTAGAAAAATTCTTTTATTCCAGAAAAATAAAGGTAAATTCCACGCGGACGAAGTCGCGGGAACTGCTAGTATAATATATAATAGCTGTTCTCGGGACTAGGTATCTGTGTGAATTACACAGTGCAATCTAGTCCCAAGATAAACAAAGTTTGTGTTATGTGTATAAAAAATCAAAATTCAATTATCTTTATTCATGTACACTACATGACTCTTACGATATGTCAAATCTACCGACAGTTCGGAATGATTTCGATATGAGAAGAACTGACAAGAAACTCAGCTCGTATTCTTTTCAAATAAATATCGTACATGTTTACAATAATACTGATTCATTTTCAAATTCAAATTGAGGAGAATAGAGTGACCACCTGCATATGCAATGCAAAAGCAAAACGTCTAATCAGTGTTCGTAACCTAAACATACCAGTCCCCACAAGCAGCACCCGTTCACGAGTATGACGGATGAGCCAGTCATCATTGCACTCAACCATATTAGAGGGAGCACATTCACCCGGCCCATCACGCCGCCACAAGTTTGAACTTTATAAATAACTGATACAAAACTTTTCTTTATTTTTTTTATTTGTTTTTAAATTTAGGGACTTGTACCATCTAAGTACATGCCAGTCCCATTGTACCCTAAAACTAATCACTCCATTACCTCACCAGTGAACAAATTACCTTAGCCGCACTGTCTGAATGACACAAAACTTAAATATAAATATTTTTATAAATACATATAAAACAACCAGAGTGGTACGTAAATATCGAGTTATCGACCAATCACTGCGGTATCTAATTTAGTATATTTATAGTTATAATATGTGCTTATTTGTTGCGTTTGAATAGATCATTAGGTTCCAAAGAAAGTTTCATCGACCCATCATTTGTGGCTACGTCACACGATATAAATAATGTTGTTAATTTTACATGCATTTGTCACTTAATCAATAATAATCTATACATATAAATAAAATTTGAGTGTCTGTTTGTAATATTGAAATAACCGTTTTTTAATACATGCATCTAAATATATATAACTCAAAAGTGACTGACGTAGTAGTGATCTAACAGCCCAAACCACTGGACGGATCGGGCTGAAATTTGGCATGCAGGTAGATGTTCTAACGTAGGCATCCGTTAAGAAAGCGCGCTAATCCGCTTATATAAACTTTCATCCCCTATTTTAATAGGGGATGAAAGTTTATCAATTTTAAACCGATCGGGCTGAGACTTTGCATGCATAAAGCTACATAGTAGTATAACGTAGGCATCTTCTAAGAAAAGATTTTGATAAATTCCACCCCTAAGGGGATAAATTAACGCGGGCAAAACGGGATTTTGACGGGACTTTTTTTGGCAGGTAGCTGATGTAATAAGGAGTAACTTAGGCTACTTTTATTTTATAACTATAAAGTTAAATTCCACGCGGACGAAGTCGCGGAAACATCTAGTATAACATATAACCTCGTTTATTAAAGCTGTCTAGAATCCATAATGATTAACAGCTCGCAAAGCAATAAATAGATAGACAAATTGTATTCTTTGGTATTTCAATCAAGGTAGGGAAATACAATATATATTAATACAAAAAACATCGTTCCACGTTCATAAACGGCTAAAATGTCTTACATGAATAAATGATTTTTGATTTTTGAAAGCTTCTTTTTAGTCATACATATTTGTATGTATGTATCTATATACGTAAATGCATACATAATATAGATCAAAAACACCGATACAAATAATCATATTCATGAATACAAATGTTTGTACCGTGCGAGGAATCGAACCCGCGACCATGAGAAGTAAAGCGTGCTGAACTGTTAGACCACATAGTTCAAAAGCATACTTACAAACACAACAAACGCCGAGCCCCTTGGCACACTCGCCGGAGGCCTTCCCCTGGCGGTCGTGACACTCGTACGCGTTAAGACAGACCCCCGATCGAGCTGTCGTGTGTCCAGTCGGTTGACACTCTCTGCCATCTTCATCACCAGGCGCGGTGAACAACTTTATCACTTTGCCGAAAGGGAATAGACCTGGAATAAAAAAAAATTGCTATAAAATTCGAGTGCTAAATCAACAGGATATTTGCTGAATGTGAACAAATAAAACTTACCCCCAAAAGGGGGTGAAGAAAAGGACTGTTAGTAATAGGAAATAGTAATGTCATTGCTAACAATTTACGACGTTATGTCGACCGCTACGTAGTCCCCCTTGGAAACCACCAAAAGTGGTAAGTTCGTTACGGTGAGCTATCTAACCTAACTCATCCAATCACGGCGGGTGCACTATTCCTTTATCACCCATAAAAAAATCCCCACCCACAAAAATTATACTTTTTTATCGACTAATGCAGAATTATTATCCTACTTCAAGCAGGTGACTTGACTTAATTTTCTTTTATTCATCCTCCACTGGTGCCCTGCCAGCGTATACTAATTGCAAGCAGGTGCACCATTCCATATTCATGCATTCAAAAAACTGGAGTGTTCTAAAGGCATACGCTAGCAAGGCTTCAGTGATAATGAAAATATAAATAATAATATATACTTAGGTATATAGAAAAAAATAGGTCTCCCAAATTAGCCCAAGTAATGCTCCAGTACCGCATTTACGTAATTAACATAAAAAAAACCTCAACCAAGATCATAAACCAACGATATTTCATAATATTGCGTTAGAAGAAAAGAAAAAGGCTCTTTTAAAAATATGAACTTTTCTTGTATAATGAAGATATCTTAACATAATTAACATAGCAGACAAGCCGTAAATAACAAAGAGACCGTATACTTTACTTAATATTGTCAACTCTGGTTTCACCTTCAAATTTTCGCCCTATAATTTGTAATAACACTTTAAATATCAACACTAGTAGTTATGCCATTGAGATATTATTCTTATCTTCCACAAACTAATCATTTATTCCAGTGATTCCCAAAATGGTCTATATCGACACCCACGGGTCTACGACAGCTAAAAGAATTTGTGGATCTTAACATACACTGATAGTACCTACCTATTTAGTTACATTATGCTATCTTATAATATAAAGTCTTATACATGTTTATAAAATTGTAGGATGTAGGCATTTTTTTTTTCGGACTACTCTAATGCTGTTGGCCGCAGCTGGCCTTTACAGTTTCACCGGACGTTAGGGGGCGAGTGCAGATGGCACTCCAAACCCGCGGAAGGACTTATGGAGCGGCTGAAGGCAAACTCCTGCCTGACGGATACGACTTTAGTCTGAGGGCACCACTAGGGTTCGAACCTCGGCTCAGGCCGTCGTAATATTGATCCCCGTTTGAATCGAGGATCCCGTCGATCGGAGGGGCGCCCGGGGGCGCCGAGTAGGCATTCGCTTTATGGTCGCAATATATTTTGAACCTGTAAAACCTGCATATAATGTAACCAATATCATCTTGTTGTTCTTACTTTATGTTTTTAACACTAAACTTTACTATAGTAGAAATTTACAAAAAATCGATACCAGGTACGAATGGGGTGTCTACGTCTGATTTAATCTATCATCACCTATTAGCTACCTTTACACGTACACTTTTACGCGCGAAATAGCTATCACGCAGGAAAGAATGTGCATGTAAATGTAGGCAAAGAGAACGAGAAAAACCGCTAGCACCACCAGTTCGCGCATCCCGCTTTCTTCAATCGTGCGCGCATTAGCGTTTTTTAATAATTAATTATCAATGCAAAATGCAATATCTCAATGGGAAGCAATTAAATATCATAGCAAAATGACGAACTTCTGAAACTATGGAGCAAAAACATAAATGTAGAGTTGTTGATAATTTATAAATCTTAAACATGTCACAGAATGTTAATTTTAAAAAGAAAGTAAAATGACATAACACATTCGCACTATCACGCGCGAAAGAGTGATCACAAAAATAGTAGTCGCAATCACACTATTTCCCGCGCAATTTCGCGCGCGCTTCTGATCGCGCGTTATGGAATGTATCGTATAAAAGCAGGTATTGGCTAAATTCTGCTTGAAATACGCACTAGGGTTCTGAAATAAATAACTGGCCGCTAACAAAACGAACATTTTTAAATAAAAAAGAAGAAAAAAGAGAATGAACGCCCGCCATCTTTTGTTATTGTTAATAAAAATGTCATAAGGATCACATTGTGCTCCGCTTGTCTACATTCAATTATTTATGTTATGGAACCGTTATAGACAAAAAAAGAATAATCATAGTGTCAGCGGTAGGCTAACCTACTGCTACGTATGATTCAAATATACCAAGTAAAATGTGGGCATGTTAAGGGTTGCGTACCAACATACCCTTAACATGTTAACCACAATATCATGAATTTGTCACGATGTGCTAACTAACCTGACCTCATGTTCACTTATCATCCTCCACTGGTGCCCCGCCAGCGTAAACCGTTAGCGCAGGCAGATGCACCATTCCATTATCATATACAAAAAAAATACCACAATATCAACAATACCTCTGACTACCCCGTCTGAGATAACAGTTATGACGATATGTTGTTAGTTTCTATTATTGGTTTACTAATAATACATGCCAAAAGTCGTAAGTTTCAGTGTGGCCAACACCAAAAACTTTATGTCAATTTACGAGTATAATGCGCTGCGTTGCAAAAACAGTTACTAAACTAAATTATTATTAATGAGTACATCAAGTATTGCATTTACTACAAAATAAACTCAGACTCATTTATTCGTGTACATACAATAAATCAAATCTTTGCTCTTTGTTATATAAATATAGATTAGAGGTTTATTAGCTCCGCAAAAAATGGGACGGAAAAAGAAAAGCGTAAAAGAAACTGAGCTAATTTGTAACAACTCAATTATACAGGCAGAGGGGAAAACGCTAAGTTTTCCTAACGAAGACGACTCACTACTTGTAACTAATGAGTGGTGACCTAAAAATAGACAGAGGGAGAGTGTATCTTTATTAAATTTATATTTGTTTTTAAATGTATGGTATACACACACACCTTCCTACGATTACACTTACCTACTTAAATTGTAAAATATCCTAACAAATTCACTTAAAGTACACCTCAATATGGAAGAGGACACTGACTTCCGAAACACAGGTATTATCTAGACCTATCTCAGAAGTTCGGGACTTCATAAATTACTTGTACCTATTAAAAAATATGCGAAATGTGAAATAAATAACATATGATAGCTTCGGTTATTTACTATCCGGAATTAAAATAAAGGGCCTAAACAAGACTATTAGAATCAGAGTTGCCAGATTTTTTTTAGCCTATAAGGGGCAAACGCTTAAATAGGCAAAAAAATACAGGAATATACTTTTTTACCCGGGACAAATTATCAAAAGACAAATTGTCTAGCGTAGATCGATCGATTTAATAATAAAAAACGGAGCACGATTCAAATACGGAACAAAGTCAGTCCCGCCGGGACATTTTAAACTAAGCCTTTTAGGCTTAGTTTAAAATGTCCCATATTTCGTCCCGTACTAAAGTACGGGACGAAATATGGGAAGTCTGGCAAGGCTAGTTAGGATATTCATTATGGTTGGTAAAAATTAGTTAATATCTTGCACACTAGATGGCGTTGTTCTAAAATGTAATTACCGCTATAAAGACATTTTCTGCTTTAACGACTTTCTATAAATTATTTAATTACCCTATCATTACTATTGAACTGCTAGTTTCTATCGAGTTTTCAATAGCAGCATTTTGAACTTACGGTACCCCATTAGGTAATGTTCAGGTAACGACTAGATAGTCGTTCAGTTAAAAAAGCAAAGCGAGATATTTTTTTAAACTGGTCTAATGTTGTTGGCCGCAGATGATCTTTACATCTTCACCAACCGATAGATGCGAGTGCATATGACATTCCAAACCCGCGGAAGGACTGCATCTGACTGGAGCATCTGAAGGTCAGCTCCTGCCTGGCGGATATGACTTGTCTGAGGGGACCGCTAGGACTTCGAACCTCGGCGCAGGCCGTCGTAATTTCTATCCCCGTTGTAATTGGACGGGGGTCTTTGTTTGCAGCTGTCATAGAATAATAATATTGTATGAACTAGGCATAATTTATTTCATTATTATTATTGAGTAATGTCCCGACTTCGCCCGGATCCAATTAACAAAATTCAAATTCAAATTCAAAATATCTTTATTCATGTAGGTCTATTACAGACTCTTATGATATGTCAAATCTACCGTCAGTTCGGAATGATATCGAGATGAGAAGAACCGACAAGAAACTCAGCTCGTATTTAAAAAAGTAAAAGTATCTCGTGTGTCTTTTTAAAAAATATTATTGTTGCATCCAAATTCCAAACGCCTGCAAATAAGGTATACGCAAACGTGAACAGTCCTGTAGTTTAGGAATTTATCACGATAGTTTCCAGGGAGAACCGTGTGGAGGCCAACCTGACATGGCACATTGGTAATAATGGGGTCATGAGCCCACATTACTAACAATCCTCTTCCCCCTATAGCCGTGTAGTTAGGAAGTAAGTACATTATTACTTGGGGTCATAATGTTCATTATTTGGGGCCACTTCTTTCAATCTCTTTTTATCATATTTGTCCAGTGTCCAGCACTGGAACAATGATAAATACGTAATAACTATTTAATCTATACTAACTGTACCATCCTACTACTATAAAAAGAAAGAGTGGATTTAATTATGAGGATATCTAAAACTCAACTCTGAAACCACTGCACCGTTTTAAGATATACTTTTACTGTTACATACATTGTTCCGAAGTGATATAGTTTCTAAACAAAACAAGGATTATAATGATGTCTGTCGGCTAAGTTGGACTGCATCTGAGCAAAGTCAGGGCCTCTAATATCTGTCCAAATGCAACCAAACCTAGTAATAGCAGGTTAAGGTTTCTTAAGGGTCGACAACGCGCATGTGACACCCCTGGTGTTTCAGGCGTTCATAGGCTGCGGTAACCGTTTACCATCAGAAGGGCCGTATGATTGTTTGCCACCTAAAAAAAAAAGCAGCCCTGTTCGCGATCCTCTGTGGACACTAGTTATTTTCAA